GGTATATGCTGAATACGAAACCATACATATTTCCTATACTGTATATACCGTAGGATACAGTATATACAAACTAAGTAGATCTATAAATTATTTGATAATAAACATATGAGTATGTCATGTTTTGTTTCATTAGGCTAAATTTATCTCAAGTTTTCACTACGCATTCACTTGTAGCTGTATTACAGTGCTGAAGATACTGTAAAAAGGTTCCTTTTTCTAAGAACTGTAAACAGCAGTAATACCACTACTCCAGGTGGCCATAAAGCGTTTTCAGCCCAGCCATCAAGTTAAAGTCCTGGACTGGGTTTTGTTTTTGCCCTTTTAGTCATTCCTCCCTAAATGCTATTGGAGCAGAACAACATCTCCTAGGCCGTTAGGCAAACTCAGATCAGTCTATAATTTCCAGAAAACCTGTAAGCAATCTCACCCTGGGGGAGAGTGAACACAACATGCAAGTTCAATTGTAACCCAAAGATAATCTTCTCTGATCTGTAATCTTTTATTTTGTGATGTTGGTAGCATAGACCGATTGGAGGATAAAGAAATAAGAAATTCTTAACAGTTTGTGAATGGAGGAAAAAAAACCAAAAGCTTAACTATGAGAGAGGTTAAAAAAGCTGGGGAGCACATCTATATCTATAGTAGTTTTCAATCAGGTGCCATTGAGAATTTATTAGGCATCCATCACCAGCCTATACAATATAAACAAGTAGATGGTCTCAAGCCCAAAAATAAGTGACTTTTCATCTGTGTGGATCACACCATAATAAAGAAACATCCCCTACACATAATTGAGTAGCATTCCTCCTTTACAACACCATCTTCACATAAGTCTGCTACCACCAATCTGCCCCTGTCAGCCTTGGAATCTCTAGAGCGATGTTTAGCACATAAATACCAACAACAAGGATTTGTCAAACTGCAGTGCTAAAAACGAATGGGCATTATCTTCCCTTCACAAGATATTTATGGGGGAGTCTGTAATTGAACACGATAAATCCACGAAGTTTGAGTTATGTGTGAAAAGAAAAGGCTGTTGCTGAGAGCAAGAATCTTTCTCTCATACTGATGATAGAAGCCCCGAGAGCTGTTCCGATGGTCACAAATTTCACATACAAAATATTAAATACCATCAGTCTCACTTTCCCCAATTATGTTCATATCCCAAAATGGCTTTATAAAATGTAGCATTTAAAATGAATTTTAAATATAAGACTTGTTCCTTGAGACCTTCAAAATGTTGTCACAACTAAGAGTCAGCTCTAAGACATTTGCTTCTGCTTTGGCCTGACTTATGTTTTTTAAATTATGTAGACATAACTTTGGAGTCCTCAATTGTGCCTTTAAGTCTTGGTTTACAGAAATGCCTCTGTACCCACTGAACTATTCGTTTTAACATTAGAAGCTTTGCAGTGGAATCCAGAAGGTTCAGTGCCAAATGAAGTGAGACGACTATCTAAGGCCATCTCAGGAATCCTGATCGCAGTTGGCTAGTGACATGACTCGAACCTAAAACATCTGGATCATAGAACTCAACCTGAGCGCAAAATGAGCACCTTTCCTGGTTCAGTCACTGAGGAGTTCCTTCCACTGTCCAATTTAGACGGCTAGTTCAGAACATATTTAAAGGTAGACTGGTGTCCCTTGTCCTTGACTGTTCAGAATGTAGCTCTCAAGACCTGCATTTGCATGCTAACAAATAATTTAAAGAAGAAATCAGAACAAATAAAGAAACTGGGACGTGAGTAATGCAATTTAGTATGAAAAAACATAATAAAGATTTTTAATTCCCCTCTCTTTGAACCTGTGAAGCAAGTGGATTAATTAGAGTAATTGAGCAATGTATAGAACAAATCAGAAAACAATAAATTATTGTTATTATTAATGAGCATTGAGAATTCATTTCTTTTAGGGAAATTATTTTTTGGACCTGTGAGGTTCCGTGGCTACACAAGTCTGGGGCTTTACAATACAGGTGCTGAGAATACAGAAGAATCCCACTCACATTATTAAATATCTTAAATTATTTTGATAAACTGAGAACTTTTATTTTCTTTCAGAAATTCCCAAATGCCTTTCTTTCTGTAAATGCAATCACCCACTGGGGGAATTCACAGAGGATTTCACTCTCTGCAGTACTAGCACAATCTCTTCAGTCATGAGAAGTCCTCTTTTTAATGGGATGGGCTGAATGGGCTCATCTTCTGTTTTTCTTGAGGTCTCCCAATTTCTGCTTCACTGCACTGGATGATTTAATGGCCTTACAGCAGAAGGTGGTATTGTTTCAGGGAGCCTAGCTTATGAGGTGGGATAATTCAGTCACTTAGACAGCTTGGGTTAGCTCCAGAAACCGAAAAACTGAATTCTCCCTTCAGTTTGCTTCCCAAGTATTCGACGCACTGTACTCTAGTGGGTTTTTTACTGTTTCTACACTGTCTAAAAGCTGTAGGAAATGACAGTGAAAATATCAGTACAGAAAAAAAAACACTTTAAACACTTGACATTTACCGTGAGATGCCTGGAATTGCACAATTATCCCAATCAATTAACTCATAAGAAATTAGTCTCCCCACGTTTTCCCCTCTGACAAGTGTTTTGAAGGTATGTAAAAATGGGTGTGTTGTGCATTCTTTGTTCATGGGGAAAAAAAAAAACTAATGCACAAATTCTGAGTTCTGTTTCCCAATGGAGCAACATGAAGGGAAACCAAACAATAAAGAACATTGAAACAGAGACTTTCTGGTCCTCTTAAAATATTGGGGTACTCCCATAATGTGCTATGGCTACCCTAAAGCCATACCCAAAAGCAGCTTGAGCCCAGAAATGAGGAATTGCAATCTAAGAGCTGGAAGGAATATTCCTCTCCTTGTTTTATCAATCAGCAGTGGAACAATCCCAGGAGAGATGCATAGGAGCTCGTCAAATATTGGGGTCTTCAATACATTCTTGAGCAGGTGTTTGGTATGGCCAGCCCCTCATACATCAATTATTTAATGACTCTAGCAAAATCTAGACATGAAAGAATATTGAAAATCCAGTATTTGACTAGCTGCAGTTTACTATTTATTTTTCGCCCTTTTATGTGAATGCTATCTTTATATCTGCTTTACATACTGTGATACGTACAGTATGCTGGTTATTCTAGTCTTAACTGATCCAGACAAAAACTGTGTGAGCAAAAGAGTTCTCAATATCTGCCCTCAAAGTGTGGAACCACATAGGAGAAACATTAAGATTTGTCAATTTTCTCATTTAGGCTAGGTTTATTCTATAGCAATATTGTTAATTATATTAGGCCACGGGGGGTTTTAATTATTGTCCAATATCCACTAGACAATCCATTCAGGTTTTGTTTAATATGGAAAAAATTAGGTTTGTCATTTTCTTCCACTTGCCTTTAATATCTTAACGAGGGCTTTAAATGGAGCGAGAATACAATTCACATCAATACCCGATTCTGTCAGAAGTACTGCAAGCAGCCTTGTGCTCACCGAGTTACGCTAGAGCTCGGCTGCCTGTGAGCAATAAGTGCCCTACGAAACAGGAAAGTGTAATCCCACCCTCGGGAAGCACTGAAAGATCCTTGACTCCTGCAAGCATCTTTACAGCCCGTTATTCCACATCTTTTAGAATGTCTTGTCCCCCTCGTGCTCTTTCCTCTATATATCAAAGGAATTGAACGCTAGTATTCACAATGCGTCCCCGCTTCGGGTTTGTATTAAAGAAACATCATCTCCTCGCGGTGACGTTCTCTTCCACCTAGCACGCTTCACTGCATGATGCCCAGGCGGACAAATTAAAGCGCATTAGATGAAATCCGTGAGTTGTGCAAGTGCTCTCGTTGTTACTATATTCGATTTCTATTAAAAAAAACTGAGGAATTTGTACCGATCTTCTCTGAAAAATAACATTAAACATTGGAGAGGCATCATCAAATAATCAAAGCAACATCTCTTTCGGTTTTTCTGCCAATGTACTGAGTTCAGGCTACAAGAAACGGCCAAGACTGCCTAGATGATGCAGTTTAACCTTCTGTTACTTTATATAAATCACACATTAATAAATAACTACTTACCGCGATATCCAGCAGAGTTGCCGAGATACAGCCTAGACACACTCCAGAATCACACAACTGTTGAACTGTTGGCAGCTACTTTAGTATCTATCTGCTAAGATGTGACAGTTTTAGTGTAAAATAAGAAATCTTATTGTGATCTGAAATAAAATGCACATATAGTATATTGTCAAATATAAGTGATGCAATGAATAAATATTAAGCGTAAAACTTTTTTAAACATCCTACAGTAAGACACAAGCGCTTTGTAAAAAGAAAGCAGATGTTGCTGTAATCGCGCAGAGGCGCTTCTCTTGTTTGCCCTTACTCTGCTGGCTCTGAACTTTAATAATACCTACAGCAATTTCATTTTCATGACTGCCCTGGCCTGCGCCCATGAAACGATTATTAACATGTAAGGTAAAGTAAGTCCCTGCGCTGTAAACTGATCCGCGGACGAGGAGATACGAGACGCTCGGCGTGCCGCAGCCAGGTGATAGCGAACCCTCTATCTTGCTGTACAGCGCAATCCTTCATAACAACAACAACAACAACAAAAAAAAAAACTCATGGATCTTTGAAAGTATAAGAGCATAACAAAGAAATAATAATGTTAGCAAGAATCGCAAGTTTTGCCAACCATCTCTCTATTTATCCAATGCCTCCGCTTTAAAATATTATATGTACTTGATATTGGCTTCTGTTAGCCCCCAGGTAGTATTCTTTGCCGCGCTGCATTTTTAATAGGGTATTACTAATGCATGTCTCTGTGTGTGCTGCCCGGCGAACACCACAAATCACGCACAACTCCATGAAAACGCACGGCTCCCATTGTGAACCCCACACTCCAGCCTTAGGTCACAGGTTAAAAAAGGTTACCGTTGGACCGCTGTTTGGCACGGAATGTGCTGCTGTAGGAATGTGAATCAATATTATAGCGTCTTACCTGTCTAACCCGTGTCGTTCTGTGCGCAGCGCGCCTGGAGAGCAGCTGTTCTGCGGTCTAATTACTAAGTGAAGTATACTCCTGTTAGCACCTTGGTTTTTCCGTTTTCACGGCGAAGAACGTGCCTTCCTCCTTTGTTATTCTCACGACTTCTCTCTGCTGGGTCCTCTTCAACTTCCACACAGTGGAAGTCGGTTTCCAGTCCCTCGTCTCTCGCTCCCCCCACTACTAAAAGTGCTCGCTCGATCCGGTGGTCTGGATAATTCCCTCAGGACTAAAAAATTAGAACACCTATTCCTCAAATGTCTCTATCTGGGATAATACTCGTCACTCTATCGTTGTGCAGTCTCATATCAGCATATAATCAGGCTAAAACGAGATGTTAAAAACAATCGTAGTAGCCTGTATCGATTATTCTGTAATTAAATTATAAAGTATGTATATAAATATCCTTTACTAAAAAAAAAAACAATAACATACAAGCACTTGCTCACCTACTTTCGTTGAAAAATGAAATGCCTATCAGTTTTTTACCATCCTTTTTTTTTTAAAAAAAAGATGTTTCTTAACTGCGCTGCATGTGTCGCGTCAGTTCGTGGGAGTAAATCAGTTCTCTCTTAGTTCGTCTTTTCCGTAACATACTGTTTTATTAATCCTAATAATAACACTGGAATAATTACTCAATTGATGCTTCGGTCACAAATTAGAGGCATGGAAAATTCGTGATCTAATGATCCTCCCGGCAAAATACCACTGGAGCTGTTCACCTGAGCACTGTTCTCTGTCCACCGACCCTCGAGATATCTGGAATGAATGAACTCAGGAACGATAAAAAAAGTATTTCCCTTGTTCCCTCCTTCTCCCCCCTCCTTTCCGGAGAAAGTAAGTTAGCTGATTAGTTTAGAAGACCAATCCGCTGTTTTAGCTCGAGTTTTTTTCCGCTCACGTGTCATTAATATTACAGTGGATGACAACTTGCACCACCCAGTTCTCTGGACTGTTCAGTCTTTGTGAACTTCAAATCTTCCTTTCTTAAACGCATACTATTAAGCTTAATCGTAGTGTAATCGAATTGGTCTTCTGGGCCGTCTCAAAGTATTAGCCAATACAAAGGTACCCCTCTGCCTTGGGTTTTAATAACTGCATAGTCAGATTAATACGACACCCGGATACCTCACACTCCAACATACAGTAATTGCAAATTTTGAATAGTCTTTGACACCTTGATCTATTCACAGTTTGTTTGGGAAAGTAAGTAAATACAGTAAAAGAAACAGTGAACAGACTGTTCGGTCACGCTGCAGTTGTCTCCAATTTTCATTCATGAGTTCCTTTCTCTCCTTTCTCTGTTTTTAACAACTGCAGTTAGTTGAATTCACCTGATCTCCTCAGCGATCCGGCAAAGTGTTAGTGGCACGGCTATCACACGCCCCCTAGAGGCTCCCCGTCAAATTGCTGTTTAAAAGTCCCTTAGAATTCTTTTAGAGAGCGTTTTGAAAGAAACAGCGTTCGGTATGAATGGTTTTCTCCCCTATTGATATTTCAAGTATGAAGGGTAATGGACATTTTGCTAAACTTTCAACGACTGAATGAACAGTGAAGACAATTTCCTGTTGAGTACATATTGAATCTGTATGAAGTAAGCTTGTCTTAAACGTCTTTTTTACACCTGAAGAAGGCTCTACAGCTGAAACATTGTGTTCACTTCTCTTTTCAGCATGGAATAGACCTTTACTTGTTCCTTACTGTAGCTGTCTATTCTTATTGTTTCATTTACTCAACATGAACTAACAATAAACCACTTGTTACAAAAACGTGGAAAACTTCTATGTACAAAATCTCATGAAATCTGAACTCAAAGTGTTAGGAGGCGAATATCTGCAGTGTAGTGCCACAGGTGTAATGGCTGGCCAAAATTCAAGTGCAGAGCTTCGGGTTTCTCGAAGGAAAGCTTAGGAAAACAAGAGTGGGAATTAAGCAGGGCTGCCAGGGGTGTCCAGGCAGCCCAGGGTTTTAGGCAGACTGGCTGACAGCAACAGGGCTGCCCATGTTTCCAAGCACATGGATAGAAAGGGCAGGGCTTCTTGGTGTTTCAAACAGACAAGCAGGGCTGCCTGAGTTATAAGTAGATGGATAGACTGATGTCTTTATCAGTGCTTAGATGTGGTCAAATTGGCCAAAACACAGGTTCCACAGACAAGCCGTGAGAACAAGATCGGGCTGTGTGTTTTTCAGTCTGGCTGCTAATCCATCAGACCAATCACCAGAAGGCACTTCGTAGCCATGTCAACACCAATAAATCCATGAATCAAGTCTTTTTGTGGTGGTCAATTGGTGGCTTGGTTACATGATTGGCTGTCTTATTGTTTGACTCAGCTTTGATGTGAAACCTGTGACCTGGCCACAGGCAAAGACTTACTAGCTGCTTCTAGCCCACGTGTGACAGTGTCCTAACCTTAAAGGGTGTGATCGGGACACCACCCAGGGCCACAGCAGATGAAATGAATGGAAGACATGTATGATCCATGGGACATTCAGTTCCAGGGCTGGGATTCACATCCATTCTTCTGGTCCTCTTCCTCACAAATGGAACAGATACTGGTGGATTGAACCTGATACTTGCCCAAGATGAGATGGGATGTGAGCGGAATTTTGGATGGGTCGAGCTGGAGTAGCTGAAGCCAAAGTTTTCTTGGATGCCAGTGCAGTTTATAGTAACAAGATATGAAATGTCTAGGATATGCCTCGCTCTAGAGGCTAGGGAAGGGTAGGACTTTATGTGATGGCATTTTTGTGCTCGAGGATCTTGTACAGCTCAATGACCCACAGGGTCGGTTTCCTAGAGGGCAGGTGGAGACGTAGGTGCCGTGTTGAGACCAGACTGCAGAGTAGAAGCAGATCTCTGATGATGGTTGAGTAGCCTTCTAGAGGTTGGCTCATACAATCCACCAAACTCCCTCCAAATCTCAGGCAGCTTGGTCGGCAACAGGGACATTTATGGGCTTTGCTGATAACCCCGAGGAGAGGAGACTAGAACCCCTTCTGGCATTTGAAGAGTGACGCCCCTGTAGATGAGTTTGTCAGTATATTCCAAGAGAACTCCACTCAGAGCAGTAAGGGTGGCTAATCACCCTAGAAGGCAGACATGTGGAAGCAGAGTTAGGTTTTGAGATCTTGGTTTACTTGCTGTGTTTGACCTGTGGAGCCGAGGCACTTCCTTTACGTGATGTCTGCCATCTGTGGTGTGGGCTGAAGTCATAGGATTGAGAAAGACCAGTGAATGAATCAATCGAAATGTGCTGCCATGGTCAGTCGGGTAGAGGTAAGAAGAGGAATAGTCTGGTGGGAGCTGTGTGAAAATCTTCTGTCTGGCTACAGATGGAGTATGCCTCCACAAACACGTCCATGTCTGCTCTCGTGGATGGTCACCAAAAGTGGAGGCAGATGAGCTCCAATGAACCCTGACGTCTGAGATGTCTGGAAAATTTGGAGTATTATCCCTAATGTAAAACATCCTGCCTGGATTGAGAAGGAATGTAGAGCTTGTCAGGAGGAACATCGGAAGGAGCAGTGTTGGTAATCAGCCACATAGCAAAGTGACCCTGAGGATCCAGTGTGGGAGGGATAATGGAGGTAGGTTTCAAGGGAGTCTTATCTGGACTCTACTTGATGTTCCAGTGACAGCTTCCTGGAGAAAAACACACAAGGATAGAATGTCATTGGTGATCTGCAGTGTTGAGTCCACCTTGTCTGTCTCTACTTCAGAGGGCTCAGATGGATCTGGGTGGAGAAGCTCTGGAGCCTTCTGCACTTTGAGCATCCACTTCCTATAGACTTTCTCAGTGAGGTCAGTGATAGGAGCTACGACTGTAATGAAGAGGCGAATGAATCATCATTAAAAGTGCACAAACCCCACAAAGCTATTACTGAATATGATGGATGCGGGCCACTCTCTTACTGCCGCAGCCTTGCTGGGGTCCAGCGGGAAGCCTGCCAAGGAAGGTATATGCTGTCTCCCAGGGTGGCCACCTCTGGCTGGTAGAAGTCACATTTCTCCAGCTTGGCATGGTTGGTTACCTCTGAGTTGGTTATCTCTGTATCCGCTGAGTTTTGGGTCAAATGGTTGCGGGAGTATATCAGGATGTCATCTAGACACACCATCACAAACTACTCTAAGGAATCCCAGAAGATGTAATTCATGAAATGTTGGAAGATGGCTGCAGCATTGTGAGACATCACTAAATGTTTGTAATGCCCTGCAATTGTATTGAAGGCCATCTTCTACTCATTGACTTCTTTAATTCAAATTAGGTTGTATGCCCCCCTCAGGTCTATCGTCGTACAGATAGCTGCCTGATTGGCTCTCTCCAGAAGCGAGAGAATAAGTGGCTATGGGTATTGTTTCTTCCTAGTGATCTTGTTGAGCCCCCTGTAATCAATGCAGGGGTGCGGGGATCTGTCTTTTTTGGGACAAAGAAGAGCCCTTTTCCAGCTGGTTGAGCATCTTGCACCTTCTTCTTACTAAACACATCTGCAAAATGGTGATAGAATGGAGGTAGGACAGACTGAGATCCAAGGCACCTAATGGAGGGAGGCTGGTCCCCATGACAGTAGTTCCCTAGATGACCATTCCAGGTATGGGTTCTGCGCATGAAGCCTGGGGAACCTAGTTTGGAGATGATATGGACAGAAGTTGGATGGTTTTCCAGTGCAACAGTTCCACGGTCAAGGTCAAGTGTTTAGTCTTCAGCTGGACTGCTCCTGACCCCAAGGGGGCCCTGTCTAGTGTCTGGACTGCCAGAGTCTAGCTGCAGGAAACCAGGGGAATTTTCAGAGTCTTCAAGTCAATGAAGTTTCCTGCAGCACAGAGAAAGGTGTCAAAAGTCTGGTTAGCTGCACCCCAGACCAGTGTGTCGGGAAGTGTGGGTGTTTGTACGGGGTGAGAAGAAGTTGCTGCCCTGCTCTCCTTCTTGCCAACTAAACTGAAACATTTCCATGACGGTCTGGGCAGGTCTGGAGACAGGGTCCCTGTTCCCTGCAGTAGGTATAGAGGCCTGCATGATGGGGTTGGGTGCATTCTGAATGAGTGAGTGAGCAAAGATGGGATCTTCCTCGTATCACCTCAGCAAGGCCTGTTTTTCTTAACCAGACATGGCAGGTGCAGGACTGGATGGCAGGAAGGATCTCACGGGATTATCTGTAGGTGGTCTCTGTCGCCGCTCTTGGTGACACTCTCGCAAACAGGTATCGAGCCGGATGGCCACGGTAATTAGAGCTTAGAGGGTGCCCGAGAGATCTCTTCCTACATGCTCATCCTTGAGGTTTTCAGATAGGCCTACCTGGAATAAAGAATGAAGCTCAGCTTATCCCCGTCCAGTTTCTATAGACATA